AGAGACCACAATTGCGCTAAGTTGGCACGACAGAGTGCAAATTTGCTTTCCCTATGCCTCACATCCCGGCATTGCTTTCGAATGCAAAAGATGTGCTAATTTATGTCCATAAATTAAGATCAAGAAGAAAATACATTCATTACGAAATTACAGCGGAGCATATATTGTTATCATAAAATTCCTGCATATGCTCTCTAGCAATGAGTGCTCTGACATAAATATATGGACGCTTGTTATGCCAACCCCCCAATTTGATTATCATTTAACATAACAATAATTGCATATAATTGATGTTACCTACCATAAAATATGTTAAAATGCATAATTACCAGTACGTTATTTATAGACGCCGTAATGAGTATATGAACGCGCGCTCCAAATGCTGAATCTGTGATTAGCTTCACACTGTAGATTGAGTACGCTGTGGCACTTGGCACGTCTGCCGCGGGGCTACATAGTTCACTTCAGCCCTTTATTAAATCATAATCATCTCAGTTATGAGGTGCAGCAAAACACATCCCCAATTGATCCAACAGACAGCAGTGCAGGCGGCTCCGCACAGGGTCGAAGCAGCAAGATTAAACATCCGTAAGAGCATTAGGACACATAAGAGCATTAGACGTGTACATGCACACACAATACATGCTCAGGCTCCGAACAGGTTCAGCCGTGGTGTTAGATACCGTGAAGGATGTTCAGTGAGCAGGGAACTATCAGTGACAGCATTGCCACATGTTAAAGCACACCATATTGGCTCTAATGACATACAGGACTGTCCATCTGTAGCAATGGTCAACAGCACCTAAGGCACTTTTAGTCTCATAATTCCCTATTCCTTCTCTCTGCCACTTTCTCTCGCTCCCTCTTTCTGCTGTCCATGAGGCCCTAATGAAGATCAATGCTTGCCTTCTTACCCATTCTAAACAGCCATCCCGTTTGAGCTCAGTGATCAAATATGTCTAAAACTATTGGGTGGATGTGTCTGGATCTGGAGTTGGGTATTAACAGCACGGGGGGTTTCATTATATGCTGCAGGAGCCAACTCACAGACAGAAAGAAGGTCCCAGAAGAGAACGCAAGAGGGTTTTTTTCTATTCCACAGTGCCGTCTGACTGCCTCAGGCAGACAAGCGGAATCATCGTCATTCATTTACACAACGTATTACCCCACCGCCTTCCCCAGATGCTCAAACTGCAGCTCAGGGAGATGGCAAGAGGGAAAAGATGAGAAAAAGACAGAAAGAGAGAGGTTGAAACTGTGAAACAGTGAAACAATGTCAGATATACAGTGCCAGTCAAAGTTGCACCTCATATGATATTAAAGATCTTTTCATCTAAAGGCTTGTAGTTAAATACTTGGGAGTACAGTTTTTAAAATGCATAAAAAATAAATAAATAAATTCAATTTACTTGAGTTAAAAATCTAAATTGACATCTCAATTTTTTTATTGTTTTAAACAAAAAAAACTCACAAACAAAAAAAAATGATTTATGGTTAAAAGAAGAAAAACATTCACTTAATTTACTTTTTTTTTTAATTATGCTTAATTACCCTAATTTATTATCTAACACAAAAAGCAAATGTACTTTGGAAGACATTTAAATAGTTTTACTGGATAATATGAAATTTTTTAGCAGGATCTGTATTAATTCTTGCTGTATATAACATATAAATAATTGTAATTAATTCTTTCATTCTTAAAGTATTACATTAAAATGTACATTTAAAAATATTTGTAATAAAAAACGAATTATAATAAATACATTTATAAAATAAAAACATATTTTAAAAATAATTTAAATTAATGGTTGATAAGTTCACCTTACTGGGAACATTGGTTGGGGGAAAGAAAAAAAGCAAATGGTGGCTAAAAACTAAAATATAAGGTAGTTTTGTTTAAAAATTTTGGTCACTGCATAATTCTCATTCATCATTTTGTGTTATTTCATAATTTTATACTTTAACAATTATTCTAAAGATCGTAATAAAGATTGGGTAGTTATGTCTAAAATTTGACTGGTACTGTAAGTCATGGCCCTCCAAACGGGGTCAGCAATGGAGCATGACTCACAGAAGAGAGGTAATGTTATTTTTCACCCTCCACCACCAGGCTCTTGATTTTCTGATGAGAAGAGCAATTGTTCATCACAGCACATACTGTAGCTTTAACAGAGTAGAATCAACGGCTGATTAAGAGGCTGATTGAAACATTATTCTGTGACCTGCAGAGCTCGGCTTCCTCAGGATTCAAATAGACAAAGACAGCAAGAAAAAAAGACTGGGATAATGTGACTAATGCCATTAAGATAAGTGATGTGATAAACATCCAGGCACAATGTTCTGTGGGATATGTCTTTCAGTCTCAGTGAGAGCTTTTTTCCCCCATTTCACTGTGTTGAGGGTCATATTGGTTAGTGATCTTTGATTTTCCTCTGCCAAAGTGATTAATCTCAGCTCATTATTCAATTAGAAAAAGTGGTTATTTAGATAAATGCAAAAGTCAATCAACATCAATTAAAAGTTGCTAGCAATGAGTTGTGTGTTAAACAGATAGTTCATCCAAAAAATGAGAAGTCATCATCAAATCATTTACAGAAGAATGTTTTTGTCCATACAGTGAAATTCAGTAGGGTCCAAAACAACACGGCTAAAGTCTGTTGGAAGATTTTTTTTTTAAACAAATTAATACTTTTATTCAGCAAAGCATTAAATTGATAAAAGGTGACTGTAAAGACAGTGTACAGTGTTTAAAAAGATTTCCATTTCAAATAATTGCTGCTCTTTTTAACTTTATATTCATCAAAAAATCCTGAAATAATTTGCCATGGTTTACACAAAAATATTAAGCAGCACGACGGTTTTCAACATTAACAATAAGACATGTTTTTGAGCACCAAATCAGCATATTTAGAATGATTTCTGTAGGATCATGTGACACTGAGGACGGGAGTAATGGCTGCTGAAAACTCAGCTTTGCCATCATTTTAATTTAATTTAATCATTTAATTTTTGGGTGAATGTTAAGACCTGCGTTTCTTGTATTTGCCGTGTTGTGTGTGTGTGTGTACGTGTTCTTTCTCCTCCCTCTCTCATTCTGTCTGCTCTCTGATAGGATGTCCGCTGATGGGGTGTACGATCGCCATTGGTGGTTGAGACGAGGCGTGGCCTTTATAAGGACGCCGCCGGCATTCAACGGGGAGCTCATTGTTGGTTCAGATGCGATTGGGTTGAGAGCTCCTGGATCCCTCCGCCGGCCGATGATCAAATGTGTATTCTCAAGTGGAGTGTAAAATATGTTGATCACGTTTATTCGTTTTCAACTTTGTGTGTTAAGATCGTAGAGCAAAAGGGTGTCCTGCCGTTTTGTTTTAC